TATATATATATATATATATATATATATATATATATATATATATATATATATATATATATACACAATATTGCATCCCATCTACTCCTAAGTTTACACAAACACACACACACATCTACCTTACTTTAAAATTTATAATAACTTACATTAATTACTTTCCTGTTTATATTGAAATCTATAATTATTCAAAGATTAATCACTTTTATGATACAAGATTCAATTTAATTAATTCATTTTTTTCTTAAAATGTGATCTACCTTTATATTTACTTTTTAATTGCTGACACAATTTACATGTAATTTATTAGATACACTCCTACAAATAATTACTTCTATTTACTGACGATGAATATATGAATATTTTCTAGAAATTATTTTAATATTGAACTTCAACATAATATATAAGAAATATGAACGATTTATAAATTCTATTTTCAAGTTAAAATATCTTTTTTTTTTTATCGATTCATTTCTCTCGAGTCATTTTAAACAACAAAATAAATATCTTGTGAGATATATATATATATATCAAATTTTATTTAATACTCTATATACAAGTTAGTTTCTAAAACAATTGGTTTAAATGAATAATAAAATTCTTCTTATATGCTTTCTTTTAAAAATAATTATTTCATGTAAGACCAAGGGTATTCACGATTTAAATTTAAAAAAAAAAAAAACATGTATGATAAAACATACAAGGTTTTAAAGAAAAATTATTTTATTTTTCAGAATGTATCATTTTATTTATAGTCGGCATAATCTGCAGCATATTGAGTTATACGATCTATATTGTCAATCCTATAAAAAAGATACTGGATTACGTAAGTACAATAAAATAAGTTCATACCCATTATATTTTGATATATAAAACAAACTTCCTTTTAAAACAAAAACAAATATTTCTTTATTTTTCTAGAATTTAGAAATGAGACCAAACTCATTAATTTTTTCGGTATGGAAAAAGCCTCCCATCGAAGTATTCAATAAAGTATATATTTTCAACATTACCAATCCTGTTGAATTTTTAAAAGGTACGGAGAAACTTAAACTCCAAGAAATTGGGCCCTATGTATATCAGTAAGTATACGTAAATGTTAATTCTATAAAAAAATAACGTTTATATAATTAATAAACGCAAGTAACTATTTAAATTAGAAGAATAATGCGTAAGAGACAAAACATGTTTTTTTAAAATATTTCAAATGTTTTATGTTAAATCACTATATATATATATATCAGTAAGTATATATACGTAAATTTTATTTATATAAAGATAACGTTTATATAATCAATAAACACAAGAACTATTTAAATTAGAAGAATAATGCGTAAGAGACAAAACATGTTTTTTTTTTAAATATTTCAAGTGTCTTATGTTAAATCACTTATACAATCATCGGTTCATATATTATATATAGTTTCCTTAATATTTACATCTTACATTTACATTTTATTTGTATTCTAACTTATACGTATTTATTGATTGATCATAGAGAATTCTTAGAACATACAAACATAACGTTTAACGACAACGGCACTTTAACTTATATTCCAAGAAGGACTGTATTCTTCGTACCAGAATTATCAATAAGCGATCCTGAAAAGGATTTTGTTTACGTACCAAATATTGGAATGTTGGTAAGCGATTAAAACAATAATATATTAATAATGATCATATTAACTATAAATCTGTATCAACAATACAAACCAGAGTGATTACTTTATAAATAAATAAAATATCAAAATGTAAAGTTAGTTATATTTAGTACTTTAATATTTTAGAGAATCATTATATATGCAAGTATATATTACATACATACTTATACAGACTTATTTACATTTCAGGGCATAACGTCTGCGTTATCCGATGCCGGATTTTTTACTAATTATCTTGTAACACAATTGACTAATATGATTGGTAGTGAACCCATACTAAATTTGACGGCTTATGATTTTTTATGGGGTTACGATGATAATTTAGTAAAATTAGCGACTGGAATATTACCGTCTTATCTTCACTTTAAAAAATTAGGTCTCCTTGATAGGGTACGTATAATCTAAAATTTGTAATATTTTTTTTTTTACCGTAATTTCAAAGAATTGAAACTTTTACATAATGTATTATTAACACGTGACAATCTATTAGTTTTATTTTTCATGTTTCAATGCAAATTTTATTTAAAAAAAAAAAATATAAAAAAAAAAACAGATCTCTACGTTTAATAGACTTTTCAAAACAGCTGTGTTCTATAATGAATATAAGTTTATTTATACAGTTATACTGTATATATAATATATGCCAAGAGAAATCAATGTTTTTGTATAGATGTATGACGAGGGTGAAAATATCGTAAATATAAATATTCGTAAAAATGATGATATGAGGGACGAAAATGGACGTTACTTCAGTATTCAAACCTATAATGGAAGTCCCGGAATGTCTCATTGGGGGTATCGCGAGGAAACAGAAAATAAAACTTATCCGGAGTAAGTTTACGTGAATAGTAATAATTGATAAAAATTACTAATTGTTCATACAATTTCTCATTGTTATACAAAGATTTACGATTATCTTTGAACAATATAAGATATGTGACAAATTATTTATATTATACAATAAAATATTAATTAATTTTATAGACAAATTTGTTAGATAAGATGTTCATGAATTTCACGCATGAAATTATAATATATAAATATTTCAAAATGACAGGTGATTCGATAAGTTTTTTTTTATCACAAATTTCATATAATCAAAAATAACAATTATATTTGAAATTGTAGTAATTATTAAATCAGCTGATATATATTTATATATATAAAATAATGTATTAATTTAAATATTTACAGCAATACATACGTTTGATTTACAGAAATACACGGTGTAATAGTATTCGAGGTGCTTCAGAAGGTGCTGTGTTTCCACCAAATTTAGACAAACGTGCTGTCTTTCGAGTTTATCGAAAATCTTTTTGCAGAACTGTACCAATAGTATTTAAAAAAGATATTTACTTTGATGGAAATATTCCAACTTATCTTTATGATATATCGGATGATTTTTTGGATCCTCCAGATAAAAATCCTGACAACGAATGTTACTGTCGCAAATTGAAAAAATGTTATAAGAAAGGATTATCTGACTTAACGGCATGTTATTATCGTATGTATCTTAAATAATTACTTTTTTTTTTCTATTGTAATTCTAAAAATTAACTATAAATATCCTAATTTAAATTTTCTTTTTTTTTTTTTTTTTATTAGATATTCCATCAGCTGTATCTTTACCACATTTTCTTAGAGGTGATCCAAGTTTATTAGAAGATGTGGAAGGTCTTAATCCAAATCCAGAAAAACATTCTACACGGATTGAAATTCAGCCTGTAAATTATTATAGTTAACATATGACTCTTATTTCTCTAATATCCGTTGAAAAATACTTCGTCGTATTTAATACTGTATCTTCTTTTCTTTGTCTATAAAAATATTGATAAATTTTAATTATTTTATTTTCATAGGACGTAGGTTTGGTGGTAAAAATAAATTCAAGAATACAATCAAATCTTGTGATCCATAACACGCAATATAATCCTAAAGTCAAACCATTTAACAATAAAACGATACCATTATTTTGGTCCGATTTGGTAAGTTTCACAATCTATATATATATATATATATAAGGTGACAGAGATTTTTTCGTACAAACGTTGTGAACGTACTCTACATAGTAAATGAAACTAAAAATTATTCTAAATTTATGCTCTGTCTACTTAATTCTATTCAGTACTATATATATTTATTTATTTTTGAAATTATGTTATTCACAGACGACTGCACCTTTGTCAAGTAATTGGTTATTTCAACTAAGATTGATAGTTATATCACCTGTCATACAAACTATTGTAATTTATTTATTAATAATCAGTGGCATAATACTGATCACTTTATCGCTAATATCATCTATTTGGATAATAAATCAACATCGACATCAACAATCTGAGTTCATTAGGAGAGATAGTGCAGATTTAAGAATACCTTTAAAATATGATCAAAATACGACTATACACATTTTACCAAATATACAAAATATAAAATCAAATTCAGACTCATATAGTTAATTGGAGATAACAAATACAAATTTATGTTATCACTTCCTTGATAATTAAAATTTTTCTTTGCTAAAAAAAAAAAAAAACTATATCAAATATTATATCATCCCAATCAAAATTATTTAAATAAATAATATCCAAAAAATATAAAATATGTAAATAAATGATTGTAAAAATAAGAATAGATAGATAATTATTTTAATTTATAATTATTTTAACTATCATTAAGTTATATTTAATAAATTATATAGATAGATAGATAGATAGATAGATAGATAGATAGATAGATAGATAGATACATTTTACTGCTTCTCCGAAGGGTTACATTCCTTTTACAATTATATCCTTAACCTATCTTAACACTACTCTCTCCCTCACTTCTCCCTTCCTCCTTTCCCCCTCCACTCGTCCCACACCCTCGCTTCTACCTCCCTCACTCCCAACTTTGTCCCTCCTTCCCCTCTCTTATACTCTCAACCCTCTTCATCCATTGTTCCCCTATTCCACTCTCATCCAAAATCTCTTTTATCTTCTCTTCCATTCTTCTCCCGTTCTCCTCACCTATCGTTCTAATGTAACCTTCCAACAAATGCTCCCACGTCTCTCTCTCTCCCATCCGCACACCCTGTATCGTCTCCTCTCCTCCTCCTCCCAGTATCTCTCTTCCCTCATCTCATTCCCTAATCTGAATCTCACCACTCTTCTCTTCCTCTCTTCACTCCACTTGCCTTCCAAATATTTTGGTAACCCTTCCGCTACCACTAGGTTGTACCATTTATTATATCTGGGAGCTTTGTATTTTCTCCCACCTTTCTTCCTCCTGCCGCCTTCATTCCTCCTTCTCAATCTCTTCCCAACTCTCAACAACCTCCTCCCTGTCCTACACTATCCTCTCTCTAAACCTTTTCCTCCCTTCTTCYCATTTTGGAATCTCCACTTCTCCCCCCTTTTCTCTCTCCCGCGCCTCCTTCCAGCATTCTCTCGCCAACTCACTTCCTTCTCCTCTCCTTAACTTCTCCTCATACTTCCACGCTCTGTTTGCTGCTCTTGTTCCCAGTTTATCTCTGTTTCCTTCTTCTCTTACCATGTACCCTGGTGTCCTCCAATCTACTCCCAGTGTCCACCTCAAGTACCTTTCCTGTGCTCCCTCGATCTCTTTCCTCTCCTCCCACCCCCATATCTTCGCTCCGTAACCTAACACCGTCCACACCAGCGTGTCGAAGAGCCACATATTCCTCCCCCAGTCCTCGCTGAACATTCTTCTCCCTAATTCCCATACCTGCCTCATTACTACCCCTGCTTTCTTTACCCTATCCCTCAAGTGCGTTTCCTGTCCTCCATTCTTCCTGAATACATAGCCCAAATACTTAAACTCCTTCACCTCTTCTATCCTCTTCCCTTAATAAATTATATGTTTAATATATATTATACTATTGTGTAAGAAATTTGTACGAATTGATTGTAATATTTTATATATTAAATATCTTATAGATTTTATATATAATATTAAATATTGATTTTAATAATATAAAATATAATTTGATTTTGTTTTATGTATAAAAATTATACATATATTATCACATTCTATTTGCATTATTTAGATCATATAACTTACGCTTAACATTAGGTGTAGGAATTAATTCCATGTCTTTATATAATAAATGTAATAATTATTTATAAAGTAGTTCTTTAAAATAATCTTCATTATTCTCGATAATTTTGATTCATCTTTTAGACAATTACTCAATTCCTTGACAAAAATAATTGCGATTTTGATGCAATGAATTTAATATTAAGGCATTGAATTCATTGCTACACCAATAATTATAAAATATATACTTAATRCATAAGTATAATACATACATACTAGTATAAACAAGTGTAATATCAATTGCACCTTATTATCAGCAATGGAAGTCTGTAACAATATCATAAATCATCTAGTTTACGAAACACTAATTCCATTTCAGGCCTATCTTTAGCAAGACGATTGGAACACCATTTTCCCAATACTATAAAATTGCTATACACTTGTTTATCTTCTTCTCCAGCTTTGTTATCAATTAATAAATGAAGATGTTGATCTTCAAAATGATCTATAAATTCTTTTAAAAATTTATTTTTTGGTCTACTATTATCATAAGCTTGAAGTCCAGTAGCTAATTCAAATAATACAATTCCGTAACTATAGGTATCTATTTTTGTAGATAATTGTTTTCCATATATAAAATCATCTGGCAAGTATGGTCTCGTACCATGAATTCTACTCACCTAATAAAAGGAAAAATATAATTAAAATTATTGAAATGTTTATTTTAAATCACTGAATTAATCCTTCTGCAACTATGAAAGGATTAATACTTATTTAATACTTTACATTAGTTAATTTATTAATATATTACCATTATAGAATTTTTGTCACCCTCTTTCGCCAAACCAAAATCACCAATTTTAGGTTCATAATTTTTATTTAGTAAAATATTTGCACTCTTGATATCACCGTGAATTAAAGGTTTTTCTCCAATAGTATGCAAATATTGTAATCCACGTGCAGTACCTTTTGCAATTTCATGACGTTGCAGCCAAGAAAGTGGCCGACTTTTATTTTTTAACAGTAAATTATCTTCCAAAGAACCATTTTCCATCAATTGATACACAAGACAAGGTATTTGACCGTCTAAACAATAAGCATACAATAACAAAATATTTTCATGTGGATAAGAATTCAATATTTCTATTTCTTTAAGTGATTGCTTCAGTTGAATCAAATAGCTTTCATCAGAGCTGGACTTTTTGTATTCGAGCCTTTTAATAGCTACATTTGTGTTTTTCCATGTACCTTTAAACATATTAATTGTTTACTTATGATATTACTATGCAATAATAAAGTATACATTGCAATGAATAAATTACCTCTATAAACTACTCCAAAACCACCTTTACCTAATATATTATGTTTTAACCAACCATTTGTAGCAGTTTCAAGTTCACTATATGGTACACGTGGTAAAGTTGCTTCAGGCCTCAATATAGACAATTGAGATTTTTTGGAATTACTTTTATTTAGTTTTAAAGATAATAAACGATTTGCTAAAGAAGGCACAAGTAAATTATTTGTGTTACTCGATACATCTACAGATTGTAAATTATCCAAAGATTGATTTATTATTTTATGAGATGCTTGTTCGGTATTTTCATCAACAATTATTTTTCTAGCATTTGGCCTTGGAGAAATCTTTTGATTAAAATTTTGTATACCGATCTTTAAATCCTTGACATCTTCAGTCACTTGTTGATTATTAGGTATATTTGAATGATTATCATTATCATTATTTAATAAGCAATGAAATTTTGTATCAACAAATGGCTTTAAAAAAGTCATTGCTTTATATTGTTTCATTTTTAATAATAAAATAAATAGTTCCAAAATAGTATGATTTTTAAGGCCCCAATCTTTTAATAACTCATTCGTAGGACTTTTTTGTTTTTGTAAACTGCTAATAATGGACACATCATATTGCATCCATTTACCTTAATTATAACAAATAAAAATATTAAAAAATGTTATTCTCAATATTGTTATGGAAAAGTAGAAAACATCTTATTTTTTCTTACTTTCTCCAATAGATATTTACCTGCAAGTTCTTCCCATTCATCATCTCGATCTAATATTTTACAGATTTCAAATCTTTCTAATGCTGGCAATTGATAAATATATTTAACATTTCTTTTTAACGAAGTCATAGTAATAAAATATAATTATGTCAATAAAAAAGTACTGCACATTCACAAAACACTTCAACAGCTGTCATCAATGCTACGTAATAACCAAAACAATTACATTACTGTACTAATATTTTTAATCATAACCTATAGGGATTGAGCATGAAACATAGAGGCAGCACTACTGTCGGAGTGAGCATATTTATTTGGTACCCAGTCTTTTGGATTTTTTCTGAAATCAAAGAAAAAAATTAAAAGGTTAAATCATAATTATAAGATAAATATTTGAAATTTCATCAACAAAATGATCAATTTTTACATACGTCGCATTTAAATGTAATAATTTTACTGAATGTTACAGTTCATTTTTTAAAATTTTAATGAATATTGTACTTACACGTAATTTTTCACTGCATTTATCCACTGTTTACGTTTTACTATTTTCCATGAGGCTCCTAACACGCTCTCTGGAAATTTATAAAATTTCACTTCCACACCGAATCCACGTTCTCGACGTGATGTATTATTACATCCAAGAACACAACAATTTTGTCTCCAAGTTGGCATTATTAAAAAAAAATTAAGTATATTTTATTTATAATTATTTTAAAGTAAATCACGTATGTTTACGTTAAATACATGATGTCAACTGCTTCGGATACTTGCCACTAGTTGGCGTAAAAGTCTAGACGCACGTAGGGATGACGCACGGTCCCTATTGTGTGGAATTTCCACTGCGTAATAACATCAGACATTATCAGTACACTTTTTGAATAATTTCGTAAATGTACACCAGAGGACATTAAATTACAGCCACTTTTCTATACGATGATAACTACTTTACCGCGGTAACCTTACTCGCTGTCGAAACTGGGTTTTCTCCCACGTGAGAGTTTTCGTGCGCATGCGTCTGAATATGCGCATGCGTCTGAGTATGCGCATGCGTTTGAGTATGCGCATGCGTCTGAGTATGCGCATGCGTCTGAGTATGCGCATGCGTCTGAGTATGCGCATGCGTGAGAAAATCTCACGTCCTTTCATCACTGCATTACCGACGGAAAGAAATCAATAAGAAACAGTAGTGTCTATCGTGGTAGAAAATCGAAGTATCGTAGTCTTAAACAATTTTAAGAAGAATGCGTTGTCAAATATTAAGAGACTTTTCCTGTGCTATCGCATAATATTCAATTTGTAAAAAATATATCGTATGTGTTTAATTTTATTTTAATTTAAGTGTAATATTAAAAATACTACAAAATGTCTTATATGTTATCACATCTTCATAATGGATGGCAAGTCGATCAAGCCATTTTATCAGAAGAAGATCGAGTAGTTGTAAGTTTTAAACCATATTAATTAAATAATGAAGTTTATAATTATTAAGTGAACATTGTTGATAAAATTTTGGTATAAAATTGTCATTTTGTTCTTAATTTGTTTAAAATTTTCTTCAATGATGTTTTTGTTAGGTTATAAGATTCGGTCATGATTGGGATCCAACATGCATGAAAATGGATGAAGTTCTTTATAACATCGCAGAAAAAGTGAAAAATTTTGCTGTAATTTATTTAGTGGATATCACAGAAGTGCCTGATTTCAACAAAATGTAAGTTTACTTAATAGATAATGTTGATATCATTTATTTGACCAATTATACTGAGGCAACCATTATAAAAACATTAGACATAATTGTTATAAATCATTTTTTAGGTATGAGTTATATGATCCTTGCACTGTTATGTTTTTCTTTAGAAATAAACATATAATGATTGATCTTGGTACTGGAAATAATAATAAAATTAATTGGACACTTGAAGATAAGCAAGAAATGATAGATATTATTGAAACAGTTTATAGAGGTGCAAGGAAAGGACGTGGTTTGGTTGTTTCACCAAAAGATTATTCTACAAAATATCGATATTAAATTATCTAATAAATTTTTTTAATTGAAAAAATGCAGAAGTATTATTTTACATTAAAATGTTGAACTATTTAAATGTACTATACAGTACTGTTTGTATATAAATAATTTGCATAATGATAAATATATATATATAGATGATAAAAAAGTTACATATAAAGAAATATATATATATATGTATATATTTCTTGTATTACATTTTTATAATATTTTGTCTAATAACAATAAAAATCTAAAAATATATTTTTTTTATAATTTTACGCCTATATATAATATCATGATTACAATTATATGCTATTAATTACTTTAAGTAGTGATTTGTAAACTTTTTCTATTTTTGGCGAACTTGCTCTATTCAAATTTTTTTAAGGTATTCTATATTAAATTCTAACAAGTTCGTCTTAGAAAAAAAATTAAAAGTTCTTTTTTTTTATTAGATTAGACTAAAAATACATCAAAATGTTTTATTTGTAAAAGATTTTGCAAACAGTTATTATTTAATTGAGTTAATGGTTTTAGTAATCGAGTTTACATCAAATCTGTTAAATTTTGCATCTTATCACATTGAATTGAAAATAGAAATAAAATTATAAGAACACTCTGTAATATTTTGAGGCACTTTGTAAAAAAAAAGGTCGCAGTTCCCCACAACGTACACTTAGCTGTTATTTGGGAAATTAAAAATATTTCCTTAAAGTCTTCATATGTGATAAAATATTTTACAATTATGTTTACTATTATAAATAACTATTAAAAAAAAAAAAAATAGCTAGTTCACAAATAAGTATATACATTAAAAAGTTAACTAAAGAATATAAATTAATTTTACCATATTTGTTTTTCGCATTATGTTTTTTTTTTTAACGTCTCTTTTAGTTTCATTATTATATATTGTTCTGTAAAAAAAAAATTATTCAATTAAAATGAATTTAAAAAATCAATATAAATAGATTAGTCTAGATTAAGTTGCTTACTTTGATCTGTAAAAATTAAACTTTGTACAAATTTCTCATTTGAAGTTGTATAAAATTCATGTTTAACATATTAATTTCATTAGATAAATCTTTTGTTCAATTTTACGTTCATTGAGTCAGACATTGACAAGGCACATATTTGATCATATATTTGTTGACATTTGAAAATAGAGTAAATATTGCTCCTAAATAAGATTCATTTTATCAATATTAAAAATTTACTTTTTTCTTTTTGATAGTATATGATATAAATATTGTTTAAATAATAATTTAATAATAATAATAACAAAAATAAACAAAATCAGTGCAATTAATGTGAAAAATTCACATACATGTTTCAAGATTTACTTTATTGCTGTCATCGGAGTTCATTGTTTCACTTGTACTTTTAGAATTATTTTCATGCACAGGTTCCACAGGAGGTGGCTTATCTGTATTATAAAAAAATTTAAAGTTATTTTTATTTTGCCAATAAATCTAATTGTTTATTATTATTGTTGAATAACTTACACGTCTTTAAAAAATATGGATTTTTAAGAACCTGCATTAAACAGTTATATATATAGGTATATTGGCTCTAGAATAATAAAAAAAAAAGTGTTGAATAATTAATCCTGTTGCATATATAATGATCTTTTCAATAATTTTGAATTCTATTGCATACCTCTCGTTGAACCATGTTTATTCTATGATGTCTTAATCTATAGACAGTTCCAAACACATCTAGTTTTCTATTATCTCTAAGATATTGCAAAAGAATATCAATTGCTATGAGAGTACCTGTTCTACCAATTCCTGCACTAGAAAAATATATATGTACATCATTAAAACATTAGTTTTATAATTTATTATTTAAAAGAAAAAAATAATAATAATGTTCATATCTAATAACAGTATATATTGTAATACCTGCAATGGACAACAACTAAACCTTTATTAGTACCAATATTACGACGTAAAATTTGACAAAAATTGATCATTGAATCAAAATCTTCTGGAACGTCATGATCTGGCCAATCTTTAAAATGGAAATGTGTTATCGTTTTCTTTTTATTTTCCTACAAAAATAACAACATTTAAATATCATTTATAACATAAATATATAATAGAAATATTTTATACTATAATAAATAAAAAAAAAAAAAAACCTTTTGCAATATCAATGTTCTTTGAGTGTATGTTCTAAAATCTAATTCGCTTGTACATCGTATTGTTATATTTTCATATCCAAATGTTTCTCTAATTGTTGGATAATATTGATGACACTTTACCTACAAAAATAATATGTAAAAATATTTTATTTGAATTATCATCAGTTAAAGTTCACTACTATCATGTGAAATAATACTTACTTTATCTTTTTCAACTAATTGAGTTAACATAACAATAATATTTATTTCATATTGATCAATCATTCTCCAAAAATCATATGTTGTATCTTCTTTTGGTCCTTGACAAGCTATATATTCATCTTCTCCACTATAACCCTATTATTTAACTTTGTTAATAATGTATCATAATGTATAGTAAATTTGTAATTTCATACTTTACTTACTTTTATAAATGAAGCATTAATATAATCGGTATTAGGATCATTATCAATTACTTCTAATTTAACTCTTGAAAAATCATCTGTAAATATAAATATTAAATTAATATGATTTCTATATAGAATATTTACGTTTAAGTAATATGTAATACATACATGGTAAAATATCAGAATATCGATTTTTTTTTCTATTAGCTTGCAAACAAGCAGTATTCGTTGGCATCTGTAAATCCACACTTAAAGTTTGAAGTAACCTAAATTCATTACTTAATTTACCAGGATTGTCAACAAGTTCCTGACAATGTGCAAGAAATTTTTTTCTTGTAAATGGAGTAGGTATTGGTGATCCAGACATATCAGCATTTAAAAACTGACGAAATATTCTGAAATAATAGAAATAAATTATTTAATATTTAATAATAACTTATTTTCCCAATTCAAATTATTGATCATAATGAAATCAAATGATTAATCAGAATTTATTATAGAGTATATTTAATTGTAATTATACAAATTATAATTAATAATCATAATTGATATCACATGATCAATTGTATTTAAATTAAATTTTAGTAATGAGTGAATACTTTGTCAATTTGAATAATAAATTCTATTATTACACGCACTTAATTAAAAAATGTATGTTTTTCTTCATGAAAAATTGAAAATTATAATTAAATAGAATGAATGAACTTTAATGAAGCTATAACACTATTTATATTAGTTTAGTTTAAATACAATCATGAATAACATTTAATATGACTAATTATAATTTTGTGGTTAACCATTAACTTTTTGTAACTACTATAGGTGACATATACTCTGCATTCATATGACAAATGCATTCAATGGCCTTGGCTCTTATAGCTATAACATCCTTCTGAGTCACAGAATAAATATTGATTATTTCTCACAAATGTATAACTGACCAATGTGACTAACTATATCTATATTAAATGTCTTTACACATTGATGAAATTAATTCTATTTAAACAATAAAAATAAGATGTAAAAAAAAAAAAAGAAGAAGAATTTCTACTCACGTATATGGAGAACATTTTCGTACAAGTAACATTGTTGTTGTCAAAATACCCAAAAATAAAATTCCAAGTACAATTCCAATTACAGCTCCGACATCTAACTCTGCATCTATCATAATTAATAGTATTCTTTAGATAGAATAATAAAAATGAATGTAATGCGCGCATATATAAAATTTATTTCATAATGATATCTATTTTAATACAAACTTGTTTTGATCAAAAAAGCAGGTGAATCCGTAAAACCTCCAGAAGTAAATGCACGCATTCTAACATCATACCATGTATCTGATTTAAGTGGTCCATTACAATATAATCGTCCATTTGTATTAGATGATATTTCTTTACAAGCTGTATCTTCACCAAGTACATATTTTACTGCCTTTATGTGACCATAATCAGCAATATTATTTGCTACAATGTGTGTCAATGCACAAATATTTATCAATTATATATTTCAACAGAAAAGTTTTGTCTTCCTTTTTTTTTATTCATTTATTTATTTATATTTTACTCACGGAAAGGATGCCATCTTGGTCTAGTAGCTTGATATGATATAGAAAAATCATTTTTCATGGATTCTTCCCACGATGAAACATTTGGCCATCCATTTTCAGTTAAATTAAATTTAATTTTGGAAGCAACATTATATCCTTTTCTTGAAACCATAATAGCATAATATTTAATTTCACCATTATCATCAGAAAATAATGGAAGTAAAATGGTGACTGATGTAGTAGACCTGCGTGCTTTATATGCATCTATAGTAATTGATTTTATATATTCTTCATTAGGTTCTGATGGAACTGTAATAATAAATCAAATTATAAATATACAATATTTTTCATTTATAAATAAGAAAAACTATTGTATAAAACATACTTCCTGATTCTGTTACAAATGTTACAACATTACTATCGTTACTCCAACCCGCAGCAGTTCTAGCTTTAGCAGTTGCAGTATAATTTGTATACGGTTTTCCTTTTGAATACTCAAATGATGTGGCAGTAATATTTCTAATGATAACGACACCAGAAACATTATCATTATATGACTCTGATCTTTCAGATAACGTATACCATGTAAATTTAATTTCATACTCTATCAATACTCCTGGCAAATATGTAGGCTTCTCCAAAGTAACGATAAATTGAGTATCTGTTACATTTATTACATTAATAATAGGTGGTGGTAATACTGAAAAGAATTAATGCTGTAATATATCACGTATTGTTATACATAATAATATGTATTTCTAAATATTTACCATCTTCTAGTGTTGTAATATTTATTGGTTCACTTAATGAACTGTTTCCTACTTCATTAATAACAAATCCTTCACATAAATATGTTGTATAAGGGCTAAGATCTGTTACTGTTATATCTGCCAACATTGTATGATTATTCAAGCTTATTTGAGCATCTCCTGATTTTGGTACATAACCGTGTCCATGACTTTTTACATAATTACATGTAACTATTAAAGATTCCAGTTTACAATTGTTTGCTACATTTCTAATACTCCATATCATTGATATATTAGAAGTTCCTGGTTCATTTGCAAATAATACAGGAGATTGCGTTACTAAAACATTCAAACAAATTATATAATTACTTATAATTAATAATCCGTATAAATAAATAGATTTTCAATGGCACACTTGTTACATACTTTTTTTATTTGTTTTTTCTTCAATAGTAGCTAAAATTCCACTTGAAGAATCTTTACCAAGTGCAACAACATGAATCATATAGGAAGTACAAGCATATAAATCCTTTATAATTATTGATGTATTTGTGGTATATAAGATTTTAGAAAAATTTGATTCCGTATTAGATATTGTAACACTATATGTTTGAACACATTGTCTTCCAATTATTGGCGGTAACCAACGAATTTTTAAAGCAAAATCATCGGGTTCTGCGATCAATGACTGTGGCTCACCCGGTGCTATAGATAAGTTATACCAATAGTGTTGATATTTATATATATATATATTTATATATACACACATATATGTAATTTTTGTTTCATAGCTTATAATCTTAGGAAATCTTACTTATTGTTCTTGTTATATGAGATATTGTTTCTCCAGTTGATTCTGCAGAATTAGTTACTATTTTAATAGTATAAATGTATTTTGTACAAGGTTCGAGACTCATTTCAGTATAATTTGTATTTTTAGTAATGTTAACTTCTTTATTATTTTCATCGCAATTATTTTCAATGCATTTTATAACTTTGTAATAATCAATACAATTAATATATTTATTGGGAACATCCCAAGTCAATTTCAAGCCAGTTTCATTCTCATTGTTTATTTCAATATTGTTCAATTCAGAAATAAATAAATTTTTCACATTTTCGACATAGGTAACTAAAATTTAAATGTATTAGATTAATTTATTAAAAATATCTAATAATATGTTATATATATATATTATCAAAGATATATATATATATATATATATACTCACGATTAGAACTCGTTTGTTGCGTTACATTAATACCATTTGATCTATTATTTTCTACGACTATAAACACCTCAAATGTATAAGATGTACATGGATTAAGTTCGGTAACATTATATGTTATATAATATAATATACTTATTAGATTTTTCGATTTTTTCGTCTGACCATTGTATGTTACAATAGTATAATTCAATGGAATATCATTATCACTTGAACATGGTCCATACCAAGACAATAATATACTTTCTGTATCAACTGCTTGGACCGTTAATTCCTTTATATCTTCATTTTCTAAAACTATAAAAATGTATTTCTATTTTTATCCTTTTGTTTCCCCATAAATTCATTAAATATCTCATAGCGCATATTACAGTTCATAGACAATTCATTTTTTTTTTTTTAATTTGTATTTAAACATAGGCACACCTTATTTTTTTTTTTTTACATATTTTATTTACTTTTACACGCAAATTGTAAAAACATATACTATCAATACTGCGCAGAAAATGTCAAGAAAATGATAAATATTTAAAAATTAATTTATTATTATTATCATTATTATTATTATTATTATTATTATCAGGATTATTATCGTTCTATTTTTCTCAAAATAATTATTTTTCTTTTTATATGTTTTTTAATTATTAAATTTAAATATTTGTAATCAATAAATTTCTATATATTAAATTACTCTTTTTGTTTTGTTGTTGTTTTTTTTTTAATCTAATAATTTGTATTAATTTAAAAAAAAATTTCTGTAAATTAATTTTTAAATGACTTTACACGATTTTGTTGTCACGGTATGCACTCACCATGTAAAAAGAAGATCCAGATGTATTTATAGACTCACCTATTCCGTCTATTGCATTTGATTTTTCACATAAATTGAAATGAATTCCATTTTGATCATTATTAAATTCAGGTGAAAAATATAATTCTTTGTATTTGTCAATATAATCAGGAATCAAATTTTTCGTAGGCGTATTAATGTCTCCTCCCATTTTAGATAAACTTTTGTCTTTATCAAAGGAAGAGTATTTTTGGATAATGTTCGATGTTATCTCTAAATTTTCATTTTTTTCAATCGTATCTTCCTCTCCAAATGCATACAAAATTTGTATAATGTAAATTAACAATTGTAAATATTTTTTTGATATCATCTCTTTCATCTTGCTATCTGTATATTATATTTAAAAAAAAATAATAATAATAATAATTTACATTTATATATAATATCTATATACAGGGTGATCTGTAACTAGTGGTACAAGCGAAAAGGGGATGATTCTACATAAAAAAATAAATTGAAAATATAGAATAAATATTTTTCGTTTGAGGCTTTCGTTTGATGAGAAAATCGACTTTGAATTTTCGCAAAGTGCGTAGTATTTTACAAAGTAAAATATATATATATAATATGTATTATTCTTTGTATAATTAATGTATTATATTATATATGTCATTTTTTGTTCCTATATATAGTTTTATTTATAATTTATTTATTAAACACGTTCACGAAGAATTCATTTTATAATACAAATGATGAACTGATACCAAGTAACTCATTATTGTCGATAAAATCATATTTCTGTATAAAGATGAATTTAAACGTAATAATATCTACATTGTCCATTTTTTACGATGTTTATACTCATAATCAAAAGATATGATAGATAACAACGATTGAAAAAGACGTCAAACATATAGAAAATATTTATATAAACCAGATTTCAAATAGTCAATAAAAATTTATCATATAATACTATTTTTATATTTAAAGAAATACATATTATATATTATATTTTATTATATGCACACGATAATAAGAGTTCATCGATTTTATCGAATCAATCGAAATCAAAAATCTTTGAAATGTTATCATTGAAATTCAATCAACATTCGAATTATTAAAATCAATTAAAAACCATATTTTTATTTATTTTCTATAGAAGATAAATAATATTATTCAAATGAAAAAAAATAATATAGTTATGAATTTATATAAAATATTCAATTACAATTATATTATTTGACAAATATTCGTCAATATTGAAATGTTAAAATTTATTATTGTTTTATCATGTCAACTTGCCTTTATAACTTTGGTTTGATTATCAGTTCCAATTAATATTGTTTTGTTTTTTTTTTTTTATTTAAATACACATATCGAACACAAATTTCACGTTTTATACTTTGCGCGCGTCAATATACGAATATTGTATAATATTCCAACAAATACACTATCGATGACACGTTTAATGTGTAGACTAGAGAGAATACAGGAATTATTTCGAAAACGTGGAACTTTAGAAGCGTTATGGCTTCCTGATACTAATCATTGTTCAACCACTCATTTACAATCTCTTTTATTTTGTTGCCTTTGTTGAGCACTGATATCACTGATAAAAAAGTTCACTCTTGCTCAAAGTGACACTTAGTGTTACTTTATTGATCAAACATAAATAAATTGCTGTAGATCCTTGTCATAGATAGACAAATTTTTCATATTAACATTCTAATATTTATTTTTTAATTATTTCAATAATTTTAATAATTAATAATCAAAGAATTTTAATGTTTTGTACATATTTCAATTTATTTAAAAAAAAAAACAACAACAAATTTTTCTATTCATTATTTCTATAGAATTAATGTAAAATCAATAATATTAAACATGTATATAATTGATTACTATGCTTAAGAAACACAACAACAACAATTAGTAATTTAATGAGAACTAAGGGTTTAAGGACGTAAGGATAAAAGTAGATGTTTACTTTCTCTGTCTATCCCCACTTTTACTTATTTTCATAACATAATTTTATGATTTCTACATTTATAGAAGACACATTTTTCATTTATAATTAATCGTGAATAAAAAGATATTTGAATGTTCACGCCAAATGGCGCCACCCGTCCTAGCCAATCAGACCTGCATTCCTTCTAGGAGGGAAGGGGTAAATATGGTGGGGGAACTGACGAACTAAGTGATGATACGAAAAAAGGTTATAATTTTTAGATATTCATACCGTATCTAACCCATTTCAATTTTTACTGATAATTATAAAAATAGGAACTAAATAGAACATATGTTAACGTCATACTACTAGTTTCTTTTTTTAACAAGATAAATGATATGCTATAGAAGGACGAATATAAATTTTTGAATTAGGCTTTTTATGTAACAAACAATATACATATTTTTTTTTTTTTTTCAATTATTTTATTGTGTTTTGTATTCATCATGTATAAGTATTAAACTTATTAGAACAATCTTTGTGGAGGTCCCATAGAAGATTTGATGTGTAGAGAACGTACATTTTGCCAATGCTTTTTCAACAATGAAACTAAAAAGTTAATAGACAAATGTACATTTTGTACCAATTCATCTGGAGTCATTTCTACGTGTCCTACTGCTACCGATAAGCAAAGAACCTATTTAAAAAAAAAAAAACAAAAGAAAAATAGTTATTACAGAAATAAATACAAATCATATTATTTTTTGTATATATTAGGTTATAATATAAAATGTACCTTCTTCATTTGGAACTTAATCGTAGCTTTTACTTCATCAATTTTTGCAACCATCGATTCCTGGTGAGATAGAAGACCAGGGAATTTACCAGCCTTGTTTAAACCAGGACCCAACAAACGTGGGATTTGTTTAATCAAAGATTCACTGGCTAGAAAGGCGTCATACTTCTTTGCTGTTAAAATAATAAATCATTGTAAATGTTAATATGTTTCTTATATGCATTTATATTTTTACGTTGTTTAATTTCATTGCAAATATTAATTTGAAATATTATTTGAAAAAGGATTGTCTCTACACTCATTGAGGAGCAACATGGGAAAATCACATTGCTCTCACCCGGTGCAGACTTTTTGCTCTCCTTCTCTTTGACGACCACCAATATTACAAATAACAATTATTGATGGTGCTTTTTAAAGAAGGTATGTATATTAAACAATTGAAATATTTGCAATTATTCAATTTAAAAATTTAATAATATAATAATATATATATATACCTAGTTTCTTAACAGATTTTTTATTCTTGTTCAATTTTTTTAAAGCTTCTGCATCCATGTATGGGATGCCGTTTGCTTTGGCTTCGTCACAATGTTGTTGATCACCCAATACACACACTTGCATTTTTGGTCGAGGAATGTTCTTCAATCTGATATCAATAACAAATATATTCATATAAACTGGATATTAATTCAATATCCAGTCATAAGAGACTTATTTATTTAAAATAAACTATTTATGTATAAAACTTTATGTGCTTGAAAATCTTAGTGCAGTATAGCGTTGATTACCTGAATAAAGAATTAATCTCTGGTACGTAAATAATTCAGTTATATATTTAATAAAGTTTATATTAATATAACGTATCGTCATTGTACGGAAGCACGCGTGGATGACGTATATATCCGGTGCTCGTATGCACAAGTCACACCGATGTCGGATATATCCGGCGGAAGAAGTGAAGAGGTTAAGGAACACGTGGCAAGGCCACGTGCTGTATTCGTTAACTTATAAACCATTCAGATTAAAAAAAATATACTAAATTTGTAATAGTTTTACAAGATAATTAAGAATTTGATTATTTTTTTAGACCTGATCTGATAACTGATCATCGAAACAATTTATTCAGACAATCGACGCTTAACTGTATAGTCTTTTTTTATATAATTTAATAAAATTGCATAATATCAATATTCTCAGATTATAATTGTTAACAGCACAAATAAATCAGATAATACATGCTAAGATACAACATCATTGAATATTGATTATGCATAAAATTAGAAAATGCCACCACATTTTGAATAAACTTACCGGTAGGATCATGAAACATGATCCTGAAAATAAAATATATAACGGTATAATACCTCCCCAGTCTTTTAAGACCCTGGGTAAAGGTCCGCTAGGTAAAAACCTAGCTTCCTGACGATTAATGAAGTGACCTTTTCGTGTTTTATAGTATTACATTGTTTTTTTTTTTTTTTTTTAAATATAATAATTAAACCCCGAAAAGAACCCTCAGTCAGGTTAAAACATACTTAACGGTGCCTGAGAAACGCTTATCCTTTTGTGGGTCATAATTTTTAAGTCCTATTTGTAGTTCCACCGTTTCCAAGAAGTTCCTCTTCTTGTCCTTCGAATTCTGCAGTACGGCATTAACGCACTCATAAAGAGTATCACGTGATACTTTGGACCTATAACGTAGAGGTTATAATTCACAAAGTAGTATACAATACTTTTTTTAATTTATAAAAATAAATTTTTATAATATATTATTTAATAATAATGAAAAATTTGTATTTATTCCTTAAATATATATATTTGAAAAGTATCACGGTTACGATTCGCGAAAAATTATAACGATTAATTACTTTCAAAAAAAAACTAGATTGTTTGAATTACATATTTTTCAAGAATATCTTTGTTAGGAAAAAAAATAATCATAGTAATAAATTAATACGAATCGTATTATTTATTTTATAAATATATCTACGAATAAATATTAAAGATTAATAAGATATATTGAGATAAAAAAACTCACGTCATTTTTTAGAAATGGACGAGCCAGCAGTAGATGTTCAACTGTACTTCTTGAGCGATCAGACCGGAAAGACCGCTATGCTTGACCATCATCTATAAGGTAAAGTAAGAAAAATACTAGATGAGAAACTCGTAGTAGAAAATGGAGTTCAATCCATAGAATAAAAACATACAAGAAAGGTTTTTAAAGTTTCATATCGATTAAAAAAAAAAGTTTTAACATTCGATATTTTGTTAGACCAATAATAATCTTATATAAAAATAAAAATAATGTCATGTGATTTTCATTTAAATTATAATTATCTTTTTGTTTATTATAAGTTTATTGTGTGAAAACATATTTTTAATTTTACATCATTTTAGTGTTTCATTAAAGAAAAAAAAGATACATTTGAAAGATCGAATATTATTGTTTTAATATTTTTTAATATTAAAAACATCTTTTCATATACATATGTATAAATATAACTTATATACATACATATATATAATTCAGATATATATTTTAATGTAATAGTAATATATATATATATAGTGTAATAGTACAGTAATGTTGTCCAAATATATTTACTATTTTATTATGCAAAAAAGTGATAAATGTATATGTTTTATATAAACAAATATTGTTTAAAATATTTGACAACAGATTATAAACCGAAATATCAATTTACTATAGCTCTACACTATATATAAATGTATTATTATTATTACTGTGTTATATTAGAAGAGTTGATAGCACAGTTCATGACAGATAAGGACAGAGTAAACTAAATGTTAATTTTTACGAAACCATTGCAATAAATTCATTCAACGATCGTTTATAAATACTTTTGTTTTTAAAACGTTTCATCAGTTTATTTGTAATAATGTTTTAAGTGCATGAATAATATCATTTTTCAATAAACGATATAAATAAACAATTAAACAAAATATGTGTCTTTAATGAGAAGATTAAAGAATATAAAACTATAATAATTGCAAAGTAATAATACTATGGTAATACATTGATAAAAGTAAACAATATTTATTATTAATAAATATAATATTTGTTCATAATTATAATCTTTTTTTTTTTTATTAACAGTTTCAAAAATGTGTCCTGCACTATTGGAAAATGAAGAGCGTTGTTTGGGTGGAATGACATTTTTTGCACAAAGTCATCCAGTTGAAGTTTGTGGAAGTAATGGCCTTCCATTAACACCAAATTCCATAACTATTTATGGGAAATCTCAATTTTTAAAAACTATATGTCATCCAAATTTATCAGAATATCTTGATATCATTAGAAGTAAACATGGTATCGTATTTAATTTCTAAATCATATAATTCTAAACATTAATAGTCAATGATACAATCAGTGTTTTATAATTTACAGAAAGGATAGTGGTAGTTTCTGAATATAATGGTGAACCTTTAAGTAGTAAAAAGGATCTATGTGTGAATGATATTGTAAAGATTGCGTTCCAGTGTCTATTAGGTTTACGACAAATGAATGATTTAGGTTTAGTTCATAGACACTTAAGTCCAGATAATATACTTATAAATAAAACCGGAAATGTACAATTATACAATTACGGCTTGTATTATATGACTGATGGAGGAAAAAATGTATCTTTTCCAATTGGGTACGTTTAATGAAAATATTCTTTTATATTAGAATGGATTTTATTCTAATTTTTCTTCAGGTATCCAAAATATACAGCTCCAGAAGTATTTTTAAGTAGTGGACTCAGTGGTATAAAGGTAGATTCTTGGTCACTTGGAATAATAATTGTAGAACAATTATTAAAAAAACAAATCTGGTCTGGAGTCAAGTTATCACAATGTTTACGTAAAGTTTTGAGTCTTATACATTGTGAAACTTCTGTATTTGAACGTCTTGCAAGAGAACATAATTGTTTTGATATTTATGAGGTATTTAAATATATTTTGTATTATAATTTGATATTGTGCAATATTAGAGATGTCATTTTCATTTATTTTCTTTTTTAGGAATTATCTTCTGAAATAAAAGAATTTATTGATTCTTGTTTACAAGTACATTCGTCAAAACGTAAAACACCAGAGGAATTATTACAATTACCATTATTCATAGATCTTTTAATGCAAAATGAACAAGAAAAGGAAGAAAGTCAATACAAAAATGTGATTGTTAGAAAAATGAATGAATTGTATTATCTTTGGCAATTAGCTGGAGGAGATATCACAGTAGAATTAAAGAAACAAGGCCTCATTAGATCAAGACCACCTATTTTATCTATACCTAAGTAATAATATAAATATCAATATGTATATTATAATTATAAGAATGATTTTCATTTGAAAAATAACTACAAATATTTCATTTATTTACAGTTTAGTAATATTATTAGGACAAATATTTGGAAGAAGAGATACAGCTGGTTTACTTGATCTTAGAGTTGTTAAAGTTTCTTTAGATACTTTACGTCAACGTTTGTCTCATATTCCATACATTGCTAATTATCCTTGGTTAACTCCTGAGTAAATATTTGCATTATAAGCATTAATACTCTTTCTTGTTCTTGTAATATATAATACGAGATAAATAATAATTCAAATTTAACAGAATGCGTGTCCATGCGCAGGAAGATTTAACAAGTGCCGCATCACAATTACCATTGATAATCAGAGAAAGAGATACTGAATATCAATTTTATAGATTAGTTTTATATGACAGACTCTTACAGGTAATATTTCATTAACAAATATATATATATATATATATATTATAATTTTACATAATGGTGTTATATTAAAAATATAATTTCATATAGATTTTACCACTTACACGAGAAGCAATTATTAAAGAGGCACATAAAGATATTCCACCATTGGTTCGTGGAGCTGTTTGGGCAGCTTTACTTGATATTACTGGTGATGTTCAACAACGATATGATATGATTGATAAAGAAACACCTACACATACAGATAGACAGGTAATGAAATATATATCTTATGTAAGTCGATTAACAAACTTTTCTTCTTCATTTTGCAAAGAGAAAATGTAATATAATTTTTTGGTTTGTATCAAAAATATTTGTTAGATAGAAGTAGATATACCAAGATGTCATCAATATAGCGAATTATTATCATCTGGGTCAGGACATGAAAGATTACAAAGATTATTAAAAGCATGGGTTAGAAATAATCCACATTATGTATATTGGCAAGGATTAGATTCATTAACAGCACCATTTCTTTATTTGAATTTTAATAATGAAGGTACTTCTTTTAATTCATTTCTTCATATTATTACATTAATTAATTTTATTAATAAATTAATTATGTGTATATATCATTTTTAGCAAGAGCATTTGAATGTTTGTCTGCGTTCATACCAAAATATCTTCATAAGTTCTTTTTAAAAGACAATTCTGCAGTAATACAAGAATATTTAGGAAAATTTTCTCAAATTATTGCATTCCATGATCCACAATTAGCAAATCATTTGAAATCTATTAATTTTGTTCCCGAATTGTTTGCTATACCATGGTTTCTCACCATGTTTTCACGTAAGTTTTTACATTTATAAAAAAATATATGTAATTTTTGAATCATTTTTACTTCACATTTTCTATTAATATAATTTTAATGTTACAGATGTATTTCCATTACATAAAATATTGCATTTGTGGGATAAACTTTTATTAGGAGATTCATCATTCCCACTTTTAGTTGGATTAGCAATATTAAAACAATTAAGAGATTCTTTACTTGCGTCAGGATTTAACGAATGTATTCTTTTGTTTTCTGATTTACCAGAAATTGATATAGAATTATGTGTAAAAGATTCTATGACTATGTATCAAAATACACCACCTAGTATAACGTACAGAAAACATCAATTGAACAGATCAAAAGTACAAAAATAAAAATCTATGTTTATTATATTTCATATTTTCTCTCTCATCAAGTTTTATTATAATATGTTTATTTGTAATGTCAGGAAATGAATTGGACAGATCCTGAACCTGGAACGGAAAAAATGCCAAGAATAAGTGTAGATGATTTTTTAAATCTGTTAAATAATACTCCTGACGAAGTAATAGCTGTGGATATACGAAATAATATACAGTGAGCACATATTAACAAATAAATATCAAATTTATATGAAAATATTTAAAAATAACAATTTTCTTTTAACAGATTTGAAAGAGGAGCTGTTATAGGAAGTATTAATATTCCTTTCACAAGTGTGCAACTTTCTCAAACGAATATTGACACTCTTGGACCTCATGCTAAACCTCTTGTAGATAATAAAAATTGTATAGTCGTTATTATAGGACCCCATGATCAAAATAATGCGCTGGTAAATATTTAAACAATTTTATAGATATTTTATAAAAATATGATTGACATATTATTTAAATTTTATCAATATTGTTATTTATAGTTTGCGGACTTTCTTGTAAAATGTGGTGTCACGGGAGTATGTTCTTTACAAGGTGGTATTTATGCTTTACGAACAAAATCTCCTAATATTATAGTATCTATACGGTAAATATATATATTCGTTTATTATGTGAACAAAATATGAGATGCGATTTATAATAATCCAAAATATTACATATATAATTTTGTTTGGATTAAAGATAATGGTCTAGATCAGGAGTCGGCAACCTGCGGCTCGCGAGCCACATGCGGCTCTTTGCGGCTCTTTAGTTTAAAAAGTTTAATAAAAATAAAAAAAAATAAAATAAAACATTTAAAAATCGTTCTGAATCAATTGACGAGAATTAGGCACCGATGAATAAATAGATTAGTTTTTTTTATTTTTTTTTTTTATCAAAAAGCTTTATTTATGCGAGAACTATTTATTGTTGACAAGAACAAATTTTGTGATTCTTTAAAAACTTTGAAATGTTGTAAATTGTAACTTTTGGCTCTTCCGACTCAAAAGGTTGCCGACTTCTGGTCTAGATTATTTGTATACTTCTTCCTGCGCGAATAATACTGTTATTGTGTTTATTTCTATCATGGTTGCTATGGTAACTAAATCAACTCAAAAGAGTCTTGCGTTTCTATCCATAGAATGTGTACGTATATAAAAGTCAGTATATATAAATTATTGTCAAGGTTAGGGTGTGTATAATAATTGTTAAAACTTTAGTATTATATATATAAAATATAATGGATAAACGAGTGTTGCCAAATATTAACAAGTGGATAAAGAAATGCATAAAAAAAGAATTTGACAATGTGATCAAGGATAATTTAGAGGAGAATCAAGATTCTTCAGAAATAGCTCAAAGAATTATTTCATCTAAAGAAATGCAAGTTTTAATGAATTCTATGAAAATGATGATTATTGAACAAAATTCGGAATCAAAATTTGATAACAGTGCAACAATGGAATCTCATTCTCAATCATCTGCCTCTATTGTTAGTGACATAACTGTAGAAGATTGGAATTCTTCAAAAAATATTGAAGATCAATATAATTATATTATAGATAAAATAAGTTGTGATAAACCTATACATGTAAGATTGGCAGGTTATGAGATATTATTGAAAAGTGATTTGACAAATGTAACAGCTATCTCACAATGGGATATTCTTCAAAATACTTTAAAAGACGGTCTCATGGGTGAAAGTCGAGCCATATTTGAAGCTAGTTTACAAGTTCATGCTAGATTATTAAGTTGTCCAAAGACATATGGTGCGTATAATAATTTATTGAGTTCATTTAATGCTCAATATCATACGCATAAAGTACACGAAATGTTACCGTCATTAATATCTGGAATTAATTTTAAATTTTTCTTACACGAAAAATTAATTCGCATTATGTATTTGATAATACATTATCAAGAAGAATTATTAAAGAGTATAAGAAACGTTGACAAAACTACAGAAGAAATAATAGAACAATTTATAATATTTTTAAGTACTCATACATTTGGTAATTCAATGCAAGGTAAAACATTGTCTATGTTAAATATTGTTGCAACATTAGATCCACAGGCTGATTGGAGTAAAAGATGGACTCATAAAGTATCAACTAGAAGAACATTTTTTTCTATATTAACCAAATCACCAAGTTTACTTCAATATGCTATACAATGCATTAACAAAAATAAATCTCCTATATATACATCTATTTCTATCTGTGACGAACCCATAGAAGCATGTATTTCTGGAGAGACAATAGAAACAATTACTTATCTTCACTGTTTAAATTTTATCTCACAGATATGTAGTTATGAAGCAGGTCGTCAATTACTTTCTGAGACTTTATTAAACGTTCAATTTTCTGTAACTGAATTTTTAATAAGATTAATAAATACGTTGAATGAATTATCATTATCTGGAATAGAAAGTGGCATTTACAATATTATGTGTCAGGCATTGCAAAATGTATTAAACAGGCCTACAATTTCGTTAGATACTGATTTTTATGATGCTGCATTATATTCTTTAAATAATTCTTCTGAGAATGATTTAAGAATCTGGCCTCATATGCTATATGTGATAATGCATATGTTGGATACTGTTAATGGGTCAGAAATTTTAATAAATTTTCAAGAATCAAAACCACATTGTACTGCATTGATTATTATGCAACATGTATCTAATGTTTTGAAACAACCTTTTTCTATTATGAATACTGAATATATTTGTAATTTATCTAAAATTATAACAAAATTATTTAATATATTTAATGTCTATGAAATTGTACAAGATGTAATAGAAAATCAATTTTATCCCGCTGTATCACAATTTTACAGTAAATTAGATAAATATTTTATCGAAAATGGAAATAAAGCTCAATATTTAGATGGGTAAGAAATAGAATTGATAATTATTTATTATATTAAATTAAAAGAATAATTATAATTATACGAAATATAAATGTTTTTTTTTTCATTGCAGCATAATTAACACAATGATACTTAAAATTGTATCAATACCATTTGGTTTACAAGATTTAACACGTGAATCTTTAGCATTTCAAGAATTAGTACGTGGATCTATCGCACCATTAAGAAATTCATGGACATCCACTGATATTGTTAGCTTTGTGTCATCCGCTGGATATTTTAAATTAGGATGTGATGTTATTGAAAATTTAGCACCACATGTTTTAACTAAGTTGTTAACAGAAACATGTGAAATATTGGAAGATCCAAATTGTTTTTATGATCCATGGGAAAATTCAACAGTTGACAAATTTATACATATTATTGCTCTATTTTCTCTCAATTTTAAATGTATATAATATAAAGAAAAAAAAAATTAATAAGATTTAATATTATTAAATTCATATATATATATATATATATATATAACTAATTATTTATATTCTAACAGGTTTGACTTCATTTATAATAAATACTAATAAATTTGGAAATGATGAGGAAGACAAAATTCCAAGCAATTTAACAGAATTAATACAATGTTCGATTAAATTTGATTCGGCGTACCATTATTTAGGACTTTTATCATTAAACACAATTATTTGGAATTTAGATCTTTATATTTATTTCATAGAAAAATTAAATTTTCAGGTATATAACAAATTAGAAATTTTTTATAATAAGATTTCTTCTTGCACATAAATTTGTATATATATATATTACGTTTTCTTCATAAAAATATACATGTATAATCATTTTCTTTTTTTTTTTTTTTTTTATAGAATGAATTATTGAATTTACAAAATTATTGTATATTTAATATTCAAGCTGACGATGAAATAAGAGAAGAATACATAATAGATGAATCTAGTTTACTTCGACATAAAATTTTATCTAATTCATATTATATCAAACATAAATATCCTAAAAAAGTATTATCAAAGGAATATGAAACTACGAATAATAATATATTTGAACCAGAAGAATATGAATTGTTTTCGACATTACCACCACCTGACTTTACCACAGAAAAAGCACTTTTTAATGATATAGAATCTAATACTGAATTAGAAGATATGTTACATGAAAATAAACTTGGATTATTGGATACCAGTTGGATATTACAAGTCAGAAATACATATATAAGTTCTCCAGATTCAATAAAAGTATAATAAATCATTAAAAAAATAACAAAAGATATATAAATTTATATTTTTATATAATTAACTCATAATTTTGGTTATTGTAGAATGCAGTTTTGACTACTTTATTAGATCAAATGTGGCAAGCTATTCCAACTGCAGAATGGGCAGATCAATTTGAATGGCCAGAAAATTTTGTATACAATGCAGATTTTTTCTTTTCAGAAGAATTACACGGAATTGATTTGGTCATACAATATGCTGAATTACATGGACTTCTTCAAAATTCTGAGATTAATAAAGAAACATTGAAACAATTTTTACAAGCTACTAGCATATTTATAAAATATAAAAAACCTAATAAGTTTAAAGGTTTTGATTGGTTTTTATCAACTGTATTTCTTATCTGTGAAGGAGATATGGACAAGTAAGATTTGTTTAATTTTGATTAATTTGAAATAATATTTATTAAATACCTCAGCTGACCGCGAATACACCCTTTCTTAGCAACGAGTTATATTTTCTATCTATGTAAGTTATAATATTTTACAGTAGTAGTTAAAGAATAGTTCTTTAATATGTTACTTGTCAAATTATTACTTATATAGTATGAAAATATAACGTTACATAGATTTAGGGTAACTCTAGCAAATCAAGTAATCATCATTGGTAAAAGGTCTCAGATTGAAAACTTAGTCATCATAATATAATAATAATAATTATTATTATTATTATTGTCTGAATTATTTCATTTTCCTCATTGACCTTTTTTTTTTTTTTTGAATATATTACAGATGCAAAATATTTATTAAAAAATTGATTTGCTTTCCGTGTATTTTATTTATATGGCCTATTTTTGGTAAAACTATTGATAAAAGCAATCAAGAGAAGTATTCAACTCAATTTATACTTGCACAATATTTAGAAAGTATAATTCACAGTGAAATGCCGAACATAGCTTATGCATTAAAGGTAAATCAAAGATTATATAATTTGTTATTTAGAAAAAAAAAAAAAGAGCAAATTAAAATTTTAATTTTAAAATAGAATACCTGCGGTATCGATTGGTGGATGTTATGTACAACAATATTGACTCAATGTTTCTGGGGAATATTATCATGGCAAGAAATAAAACATTTTTTTGCTATTTCTATACTATATTCACCCGATTATATAATATATTATTGTGTATCATTAATATATCACTGCAGGACAACATTTATACAAGATATTACGAATGGAAAAATGTGGCCAGAATATATGGTAAATTTTATTCTTTGTAATTCTATAATAAGTCTCTTTTCTAAAATTACAATTCAATTGAAATGTATTTTTGTAGGTACTAAATGACTACCGATGTCATGATTACATTATATTTATGGATAAATTAGCTAAGAGATATGGAAATAAAATATTACCTATAATGACTGCAAGAAAATTATATTCGAATGATGAAACTGATACTGTGAATTAAATGACATAATATATACTTTTGTTTTGTTTAAGAAGAAAGAATATTTTTTTTCTTAAATGATGCATTATCATCAAAATATTTTCACGAAAAAAAGGAAAGAATTTTTTGTTGTTTTTTTTTTTTTTTTTTTTTTTATAAAGGATTTCTATGTGCGTACATTTACAGTAAGAAAAATGAAGAAACAAAACTCATTACATTTACATAAACAGTATAAATTCTTCTTTGAAAGAAAACATATAATATTTATATAAATAGATAATGTGCAATTGTTCTTTGTAAAAGAAAATATTTTAGCAAAATTACTTTTTTTCTTTTTTTTTTTTAAATGTTATTAAACAATAATTAATATCCTGTACAATGCGTTTCATGTTCGACTTATTTTACTTCATAAATGCTTTTTGTGAACTACTTCTAACAATGCTCAATGTATACTATGGAATATATCATTGATATTTGTACATACCATACATTCTAAAAACTCATAGATATATAATGTGATATTGCTTGAAGACTTTTATATAAACATTTCGAATATGTACAGCATAGTGACTTTATAATATTGTCATACACATACCACACACACTGTAGTCAATGTTATTATTTAGTCATCATGAATTGAAAATAGTTTTGCTACTTCATTTAAATCATCATATTTTGTGCCTCTTGCTAATATCTACAACAATAATAAAAGTATAATATTTATAATCAATATTTTTAATATTATAATATAAAATGTGTATTCTTATTAATTAATTACATACCTGTCTAGCTATAGACATACGATGAAAAATATTCCAAAGTACAATGCCTACTACAACATCATCTCGTAAATAGAATACAACACCTTTTTCAAAGTCACTATGTTTTTTAGGTTCCTTTACATCCGTCATATTGTTTGTCACATTTTTATTTTCATTTTCTGAGGTTGAAGATTGTGTATCATTTTGTAATTGTGTTTCTTCTTTTTTAGTCTCTTCCGTAGTTTGTGCTATGGCTTTCTATAAGGAGAAAAATAAATGAATGATATTTGTAATATTTTGACAAAATATACCATTATACCTCTTCATCAGTTAATTCAGTAAGTGACGCTTTTGGTTTATCTGATTCAGTTGCTTTTGCAAATACTCCAACAGTTGGGAAAGATGAATCTACAATACCAATTGCTTCATATCCTACTTCTGGTCCTAAATCAGACCAGAACATAGACTGATGCAAATAAGGTTTTCCTATATATACATAAAAAAAATATTAGAAATTAATATTTATACTAACATTATTTATTTTTTCGAAAATATTTTGATTTGTGTTATATTTACATTACCTGCACCGGTCATATTTTCTCCAGCTAATCTACCCGAAATTACAGCATGATCATGATGTTCTACTCTTCGTCTACCCAATCTAACATCATAAAAACATGCAGCATCTCCAGCAACCCACAAATTACTTCTTGCTTCTAATTCGGCATTAACAAGAAAACCTCCTACATTAGGATGTACTTCTAATTGTGAGGATGTTGCCAAATCTGCATTTGCTTTAACTCCTATGGCTACTATTACTTGATCAGCTTCAATCTTTATAAAATAATATAATTATAATATTTAATATACTATTCATTTTATATACAAAAAAATATGTTACTTACAGTGTTGCCATCAGATAGGATAAGATTGAGTTTTTTATTTTTATAGGAAAAATCTGAAACTTCTACATTTGGCGTACAAATGACCCCTTCCGCCATAGCTTTTTTTGTTGTCCATTCACTCAAATATTCAGGTAATACTTGAGCCATTATATACTTTTCTTTATAAACTTGAATTATATTTTTGTCTGGATCTATTTGATACAAAAATCAATATATAAATTAATATGTAAAAAATGAAATATACTTAAATAAGAATAATATGATACTTACAATTTCTCGCAAGTGAACAAGCTAGCTCAGAACCAAGAAAACCACCTCCAATAATAACTATATTTTTACAATTAGGATTATGAATATTTTCTTCTAATTCAAGAAAATCTTGTTTTGTTCTATAGGCTATAATTTTATCTTTAACTTCATCCGAAGCAGATTCAAATAATGGAAGATTTTTAGGCGAAGCACCTTTAAAATAATAAATACGAATTAAAATTCGAATTATTCAATTTTTAAATGAAATCTACTGCAAGAAATTTACCTGTTGCTATAAGACACTTATCATACTTGATTTCATGACCATCTTCAAGTACAGCAATTTTATTTGTAGCATCAATTTTGGTTACTTTCCAACCAACTGCTACAGCTACTCCACCTTTATCTAATTGCATTAGTTTATCAACGTTTGTATAAAATTCACGGGGTTCATAAAAAAGACTAAAAAGAAAATTAATACAATTTAGTACAATATTATACAGAATTTCTGAATATACAATGTATAAAATTCATTTTAAACTACCTTCTCTGCGTTCCATTCCACTGTTTAAAATTCAATTTTGCACTTGTTGCTCTATCTGTATTATACCATAATTCTTTAGACAATGGCGGTCTCATATATGGTAAATCTTCTTCCTCGCTTATTATTAAAACCTAAATAAAATTCATTAATATATTAGGCGGTTCGCGCGGAAAGTCGTTTCATTTTTCTTTTGTAAAAATGAAGATAATTTTTGCTTTGAGGTTAAACCTAAACCTTTCAAGTGGTCATAAATAGTTGAATTTGATAAATTTAACCTTTCATCGATCTCATGTGTTACTATTTGTCGATTTGCATCAACTAATGCCATTATTGCGTCAGTAAAAAATGAAACGACTTTCCGAACCACCTAATAATATCATTTAAAATATAAACTTATATTATAGTGATATGATATATATATACCTTAGCTTTGGGATCCCTAGATTTAATTGACCTAAATGCTGAAAATGCAGCAGTTCCTCCACCTATCAGTAGATAAGGTACTTCCTGAGGTATTGATTTAGATACAGCTGGAGTTTTTATTACATCCTTTGATCTTTTATATCTTTTTTCTGTATCTTTTTTTTCTAAGAATAAAAAATGCAATTTAAGTTGTATAATTACCAAATATAAAAAATGTTTATATGTTTATATATAAAACAAATATGATAAGTAATTATTACTTTTGGTGTCAGACTGTGAGTCAAATTTATCCGTAAACCATTCTGAAGAAGAAATCTATAATAAAAAATGTAATATCATTTAATATGGCAAATTGATATGCCACTAAAACTATAAAATAATAATAATATTATACCGCATAAATAGTCACTCCTGCTATTATCAAGGTGGCCAATAAATGTTTCCAATATGGAAATTTACCATTCTTCCCATTACCATCTTCTTGTGTATAATCTGGTTTACAAGAAGGTGGACAAGTACCATCACGTTGAGCTTCGCAAGCAGGAAGCGGTTTCTTTGGTTTAGAATATTTAGACTCAGGTAAACATTCCTCTGGTTTTATTGTAGTACCAGGTGTCCTATATGGCTTTTTATTATTTGCATCATTACTATAACACAATCTATTAACACTGAAAATGCCTAGAACATTATAAGTAATGTTAATAATTTTTGATTAACTGAAATAAGACTAGAATGAATGAAACAATTCTATTACATGATGAGACAGATATTTATAATTTTATAGAATATACTAAAATAAACAACAAGTTTTTTGAATAATAATAAGTTAAGGTTATGTTATTTGTAGCATACTTCAGAGTGGAATTATCACATGTAAACGGTAAACACTATATCAACTTAAAATGATTAATATAAATGATACGTAAAGAAAATGATTTAAATAATAATACATAATTGATAAATTGATTGAAAAAATATAATATAACGATCGGTCCTTATGAATATTTCAATCTAAATCGAAGGGAGGTTACAGGTACCGAAAGCAATCATTAACACGAGGGTTACTAACGATGATTAATGAAATTTATAAGGAAATATATGATTAAATACTTACCGACATATTTTAAAGTTCGATAGGAATGATTAGTATGTGCGTGCCTTGTTACTTTAGACAGTTGTCCAATAATTCTACCACAGCTTAACATTTTGAGGGCCAATACCTTGGCCTTACGCAATAATATGAATATGGCGCGTGTGTTCGGTTCTTCTCACCGTATGCACACCGATTGAAAGTCGTTGACCGATTTTCTTCTCGTCCGAGATTAATGTTGAAATTAATACGATGCACTCCATTACCTGAGACTCGATTATTCAAACTATCATTGCCATCTATGTTCTAATGTATACCAGTTTTACCAATTCGACTTATCCTTATCAATTGATCAACTAAATTAAACAGATAAATATATACATGAATTTGATCTTGAAAAAAAGTTCATTTAAGGGCGCATACGAAACGTAGGAACGAATGACAGGCGATGCCAAGTGATACATCATTTTTTGTCGTGACGATCGCAGTACATGTAAATATATACAATAGATGTCAACGGAATATCGATTGTTTCAAATTAGAGTTATGAATTTGATATATTTCACCTTTATCGATATACTTTGTTTTTTAATTAATTCATAAAATAATAATTACGTTGTGATATTATAATAAATGAAATTGTTACGAGATTTAATTATTGATTTGACGTATAGAATTATTCTCGTACTTTTTTCTATATTTATGTTATTTTGATCATCGAAAAATATAACCGATGAATAATCGAGGGTTAATAAACTTTTTTTTTTTTTAACCTTGAAAATACCTGTTTTCTTCTTAGTTTGATCGAGATAATAAAGAAGAAAGAAACTGTAGATTTTAATAAAATTCGTTTGATCTTCACAGGTGTCCTCAAGGTAGCCAATATGAATCAGCGTTCCTTTTATGGTGGATCAATGTTGTCTGTCCACTTAAGTATTTTTAAATCTGCTTTAATATGCGTCATTTATTCAAATTTGTATTTTTTAACTCCTGAAATAATTAAAAAGAATGAAAGAATTGTTATATATAATTATTTGTCAAATATCATTATTATGTAACGTCTTATCTATCTATTTCATATTTTCAAAAATTTTGGCGGTAAAAAATCGTAGAGTGCGCTTTAAGATTATTAACTTTTAGCAAACTTCATTGTCTAACGTCAATCTTAGGAAAGTTGAATAAATCATCTTTGTAAATACAGCTGTTTCTGCTATGATTAAATTTTCACATAATAAATGTTTACGATTATTATTATTACAAATTTTTATTAACAAATTTCAAGTGTAGATTTATTTGTTGAATATCAGAAACGAGAAACAGCACAATATTTTGGTGAAATATATACACAAAAAAGGTAATTTTGACATACACATATATATGATGCATAAATATGTCTCTCTCTTCGACATGCATATCAAATTATCTTATCTAAAAAGAAAGATATTATACAACAGTACTTTGTTTGTTTGAAATAATAATAATAATAACAATTTATTAGTTATTGTTTCTTAAATATATAAATTTTTGTAATATATAAAATATTGATATAAATTGATTTTTAATATTCATATATATATATAAAACAACAAACACTAGTATACAAAGATGTTAATTATTAATTTGTATTTTAATTTTTTATTTATATGAAAATAATTCTAATTATACATCAATAAAAACAAAGAGAAAATGGTTGATGTATTTTATGTAACATTTTTTGTAAATTATCAAAATCCCATCACACATAGAAAATTAATTAGAGATAATCAAATGTTTCACATAAAGAGTAACAAAAGAAGTCTTGAGAGAGTATTTACAGGCGGTTACAGCATTATAGGTGTTCTTTTTATAGACAGTATTTGACCTCCTTTTCTTCAGGAGTTTTAGCAGTTTAGCAGCAGCTGCTTTGGAGTGCAGGTCATGTCATAGCAACAGGACTCTATGTACAAACAAAGGAATAAGATATATTCATTCTAGTCATCATGTCTGACAAGTAAATATATTTTCTAATTGTTTTTTATATTAACAAACTTTCATAATTTATATTACATTAATATATTTTCATTTATAGAGATGAACAAATGGAACAAGATGCGGAAAAGTGTAATATTAATAATCCTAACATTCCTATAGAATGTCCAACTTCATCTCGTCAAATAGAAGATGATAAACATTCAAAAGAGTAAGATATTTTAGTCAATAATATTAAATATATTTTATTTATTTATTTTTCTTCATTGTATATATTTTAATTGACTTGCATTAATTTAATATCAAATAGACAAGATATACCTAATATGATGAGCGGATGGACTGGAGCATCACCACCAAAGTTTGTGTCTCATGAAGAAATTATAAAAGCTGCAAAAGGAATGACAAATATGGCATTGGCGCATGAAATTGCGGTTGATACGAATTTTCAATTACAAAAATTGGAACCGGATGATGGTACTTTTCATAGAAAAGTTAAAGAAATTATGCATAAAGCTTTTTGGAATTTGTTGGCAGAACAATTGAATGAAGATCCACCGATTTATACACAAGCCTTTATTTTATTGAAAGAAATTAAAGATGTAATTAAATTCTAAGCTTATAATCATATTATTATATTATTTATGATTTTTAATTAATTTATTTTATCTTTTTTTTTTTTTTTTAGACATTGGATGAACTTGTGTTATCACATCATTCAAAAATTAAAGAAAATATTAAAGAAGTTCTTGATATTGATTTGATTAAACAGCAAGCAGAAAAAGGTGTATTAGATTTTCGCCATTATGCAAATTACATTATTTCTATTATGGGCAAAGTTTGTGCACCGGTTAGAGATGAAAAAATAGAAGAATTGAAAAAAGAGCAAGATGTTATTGAAACGTTTAAAGGTATAATGGAAGCTTTACAACTGATGAGACTGGATTTAGCAAACTTTACGATAACTATGATGAGACCAAGTATTGTTGCTTCAAGTATTGAATACGAAAAGGCTAAGTTTGCAGAATTTTTAAAAATTAATTCAAATGGTTTATATTATACTAAAAAGTGGTTATTGAGACATTTTAATGAAGAAGAAATTGACAATGATTTTAATCATGATAATCAAGTAAGACAAATTACACATCGTCTTTTAACTGAAGCTTACCTTGATCTTCTAGAATGGGATTTTAATCCAGATGCAGAGGTATGAGTACACATATATACAGGGTGATAAAACGCATAATACTATAAACATTGCAATTATATTATTTGACACAATATCTTTTGCAGACTTTGATGCTTGATCAAGGTAGATTGGTAGAATTACGTGATAAGACTAGCAGATTGAGTATTATTGGTTCTATATTATTATTAACAAATAATACCGTTGGAACATCGATACAAGATGTTGCTAAGTTTAAAAATAGTGTAAAGAAGAATTTAACAGTGTTATTAGACTCGGTACATTCAAATAAGTAAGTTTCATAATTCTTTTTCATAATATTATTATGAGTATGAATATATTTATGTTTTATATACAGAGATTTAGAAACGGTAATGCCAAATATCGTTTTGCAAGTAATAAAAGATCTTAAAGCAACGTTAGAGGAAATTGGTGTTGGAAATTTATCATCGGATTTAGAAATATCATTGGAGGGACAAATAACAGATTTGATTAAACCAGATCATAAGATCAGAAGTCTCGTTAGTAAGTAAAAAATTATATTTTTGTGTGTAATTCACACACATACACAGTAAATATATTATTTATTATTTCTTTATCTTCTTTTTTTTTTTTTTTTTATAGATTTAAGGATCAGACAATTTTTACAAAGAATTATACAATCTAAGAGTGCTATTCCTCAGCAAGTACCAATTGGTCTTTCGTCTCTTCAAGAAGAATTAACAGCTATAGCAGCACAATTTTTAATACTTGTTTCTCATAACAGAAGTGTATTTGGGGAATATTATCAAGAAATTGTCAGTAATGCACTTTCTTCCATACGTGATAATGACGTGACGAAAAATGTAATGAAAGAAAATTCTAATTGATGCCTCTAAAAAATGTGAGAATATATTTGATTTTATATTATGAGACGTTCAAGAATCTGGAAAACAGTTTTACAAATAAATACTATGTATGTATAATTGATATTTTATATATTAATTTTTTTTTTTTTAAATTGAATCATTTATATGATACATATGTTAATATATAGGGTGAGACATCTAACTTGATTACCTCGAATAACTTTTAAATTGTACAATAAACAACAAATTATTTCTATCTAGAGATTATATGATATGAAAAAGGGCATAATGTGGTGTCCATGATGTCTAAAGTGGAGGTGTTAAGGATAATTGAAGGACAACTTTGTTCTTTTAATGTTCTATTTCTTTTATGGCAATTCTAAAGAGTCATTTCCAAGTAAAGAAGTATTAACCTTCTTTGATTTAAAACTAATTTATAAACGAAATATTAACGAAAGTTTTATCAACATAAGATCTTATTTAAATATTTTAAATTTATCTCTATAGAAATAATTTTGGTGTTTATTGTACAATTTAAAAGTTATTCACAACATAATCAAGATAGGTGTGTCTGCACGTTGTATATTGAATTATTAAAATACAATATGTTTTGATAACAGTAATTTAAGAATATAACATATGTATACTTCACTGCTAAACTAATTCAAAAAATAATTCATTTTTTTTTCAGAATGATTTAATAGTATGAGATAAAACAATCTCCGCAATATTATGCATAGAAGTTCATAATTAACTAATTCTAATTAATATCTTCTGTATTTTTATTAATTTCAAGTATTTCAATATATATATATATATATTCATATATTTTGTAAGGGTTTACATAACAATTAATATAAAATAATATTTCTTTATATTTGGTGCCGCAATATTATATCTACATAAAGATTTCTTTAGAGTACAAAGTTGTATGTATTGTATGTATCAACGTATCACACATCATACATACATACACACACACACATATATATATATTATATATATATATTTGTATGGAATTTTTTGTATTCATGGCGGAGTCTTATTATTAATCAACAAAACTTGAATGTTTCTTATTTCAAAAATTATAAAAATTTTGTAATATTCCAAGAGATCCTGTGAGGAAGTTACGATTTCCTAAGGTTCCCCAGTTTTTGGGAAACCACTGGTGGTCTATATAGTAATATATATTGGATTTTTATTTTTTCTCGAAGTAATCAAATATTTTTCATTTTTATTTACTTCATTTTATCGATCTTGCGACGATAGTCCCAAGATACGAATAAAGTGAGAACCTATCTTTATCATTATCAAAATATTCTATATACTAGATAACAGTTATATACGATCAATGTAAAAACCTTAGGTATTAGAATAGCATGAATAAACTATACTTAAAATTAAAAAAAAAAAAATAAAAATCCACTTTTATTTTGTTTTTTATTTTTTTCTTCTTGTTTATAAAGAAAATTCCACTTTTAAGCATTATTGAATAGAACGATGATTTGATATATTAAAATCATTGTTTCATTTCAATTACAATATGCCTTTCTTTACTGTGCAATTATTATAAATACATGTATATATATATATATATATATATATATATATATATATATATATATACACTTTATTATAATTTAGTTTTTCTTTTTTTACCGCTACCATAGTGCTTTCCAATTATAGAGTTTAAAACAATGAAGCGAACAATTTTGTAATGTTATTACAATAGAATTGTATATTACGTATTTTTGTATTAAACATTATCAAGTACTACGGTACATTTTACAAATTAACAATTATCTTTAAATATGACTATATTATAATATTTTTATGTAAGTTTAATATTACATTTTTGTTAGTCACATATAAGTAATTAAATAGTTTATAATAGATACAATATTTGTAGAGTAGTAATATAGTACAACATATTAAACTAATCTAATTATTTACACATGTGTTGTGTTTAATAGTTTATAGAAAATCAATTTATACGATAAAGTGATTCTAAAATCATCTAAAATTCAATTGTAAAATTTTATTAACTTTGTATATTGAGAGAAATATTTCAAATAAATTATTACACGTAAATTATGTTAACATTATGTGAAATAATATATGTTTTTAATTTATATTTTTAAAGGCAGATCTTATACATATATATATATATATATGTAATAATGATATGATTGTTTAATTTCGTAGAAAATTATATAATATATAAAAATGAATGTATAAGTTTTAAGAAATTTTATTTCTTTTGTAATATTATTGTTTAATGTGTCATATGGTTTGATGATTGACATGGATGTATTAGGGGAACCGAAAAGTAATGTCGTTACTACGCATGTCAAATTATTTTTCTAATATTTTAAATCAAAAAATCGAATGATGCTTTTTATCGTTATTATTGATTTTTATCGATATTCAAAATTTGCATAATAGATAGAAAAAGGTCGTTAATAACGTGATTAATTTAATTATTGATTAATAATAAAAACTTGTTTGTTTGAAGTTTGAGGTTAAAAAACGACATTACTTTTCGGTCCACTTAATATTTTAAATATTTCTATTACATTCCAATACAAGAGTTCAATACGTTATCTATTACAAAATGTAAACTTTATTAATATTAAAAAACGCAACATTAAAGGTCATTTACTTAGAATTTTATTAGTCATTCCATTTTTATTATGGATTTGTAAAGAAAAAAAATTATCTTCCTGAGATAAAAATTCAATCATTTTACTTTATCAACCCATTAGTATAAAAATGTATTTTTCCATCAGATGGCGCAATTGATGATTTTATTCGCATTTAATGGATTTACTCAGTGAGTCGATTTAATTTACTCGTAGATCAATTTTATATCAACATGACAATCGGAATAAAGTGTCGTGTCTCTTTGTTTGTTTTTTTTTTTTACGAATGATTAGTAATCAAAAAAAAAAAAAAACTTTGTGTTTGATTATTTTCTTTTTTACGGTTAAATCGAAGATTCGTTACATCAAGGATTTAATAGTTTAGAATTAGTGACACAATTGATATACGAAAATTTGCATTTTATCTCTTTGTAAGCAACCTTTATAAAAATGACTGAAACAAAATCTTACGTTTGTCAACTATCTCAAATTGAAAGAGATTACGCGGCGGCAAATTTGAATGAAACGGATGACAATAGATCGCAAAATATCAAAGAAATACGCGAATGGATTTTAAAACATGACAATTTACATGCTTGTACTGGTAAATGTTTTATATTTATTTATTTATAAATGTATTTATATTTCTTCATTTTTCTTTTTTTTTTTTTTTACAGTTTTGTTATTTGTGTATATATGCACAGTGTATTCAATAATCGCACTTGTTTATAATTTTGTTTCTTTAGTAAGTAAATAAAAAAAAAAAAAAACAGATTATAGAAGAAAATATTGAATTGTTTATGATCAGGTAGTGCGAGTTTTTACAGAATTGCATCAATGCTAATACGATGTGCACCCTTTTTTTTCTATTATCTGCAAAAAGAATAAAGTTATAGTTCAATCCGGTTATTGAATATAATCTATACGTAGTATGTAGATATATATATATATATATATATTTTAGAATATTTATAAAATTAATTATATGAAAAAATTGTATTTTTTTTTTTATATTCTTTTTTTTTGTAAATTTCAAAATAAAAATAATAGAGAAAATCGCTTCTCCCACTAAGGGCGGGAAAAAGAAAAATTTTTCAAAATTTAAAATTTTCAAAATTGTTTTTTTATTTCTTTTACAGACGACTTTTTTATTCTACGTTTTTTAAGAACATGCAAATTTAATCTCGAAAAAACGAAATACAAACTATGGAATTATTATGAACAAAGATGCAATATTCCTGAATGGTATTCAAACAAGGATCCTTTTCTACCGGAATTACAGGAAATGTTTAAATTAGGGTAAATTGAATTATTTGATTAACGTAGTACTGCTCAAAAGTTCTTAACTGATTTTAATAATTAATTATTATTTTTCTTTTTTTTTTCGAATTATTTTTACCTGTATAGAATCATAATTATAATACCTGTTTAGATATATTTTGTGTATATTAGTTGTGTAATTGTTTCATTTCTATAGGGTATTTTTGCCGTTGAGAAAATTAGACAATTTAGGAAGATTGGTGATTTTAATACGAGTCGCTGCTCATGATCCTAGTAAACAAAAATTAGAGAATATGTTAAAGGTAAAAATTCAAATTATTAAATAATATCATTTAAAAATATTATTAACTTCATTGTAATTTTAAAGTTTATATTTTATTGTTTTGCTAATGGAAGAATCGCGCTCAGGGACGGGGGAACAATGGCGGAATTTGGTATTTGCGGCAATGAACTTTCGAGTTCCTAATACCAATTAATAATAATTAATATAAATGAATCATAATACTGTTATGGGACACCCTGTATATATTAAATATGTCTGTTATGCACTTATTTCACATTCGATGTAAATGATTATTATTTATTTTCCTTTTCATATTATTTTAGGCTTCTTTGATGATATTGGATCTAGCAATAAGAGAAAATGAATCTGCTTCCTTGCATGGTGTAGTAGCAATTTTGGATTTGGAAGGTATTTCTCTTGGTCATGCGCTTCAATTTCCACCTAGCGTAATTAAAAAGTTGGTACATGCTTGGCAAGGTTGTTATCCTTTGAGGATACAAGCATTAGAATTTATTAATTCACCAACTTATGTCAATGTTGTATTAAATGTGTTCAAAAGTTTTATGACAAACAAATTGAAGGAAAGAATACACGTACACAACCGTGGAAAGAAAACATTTCTTGATAAGGTACAACGTGATATATTACCAATCGAATATGGCGGTACTGACGGATCCATTAACGATTTGAAAGGTGAAATTTTATTTTATTTTTTAATTTTTTTTTTTTACTTTTTTTTCAAAATATTTTCCATATCTTTTTATTTAATCATTTTAATATTTATTTATTTTACTTTTTATTATTATATAATTTTTTATTTATTTTTATTTGAATACATTTGTAGATTACTGGAAAAATACAGTGGAAGAAAATCGAATGTGGTTCACTGTTGAAGAAAGTTATAAATTAATTGTTAATAATGTATAAATGTCTAATCTAAAGGATAAAGTATTAACAATAGATTTACGAATATTTTGTTAATTACTTTTTAATGATTTAATAACATTGTTTGGATGATGGATTAAGTAAAGGAATGGAATTAATATTTAACTAATATATTGGGTTTACCAAAAAAAAACATTAGTTCAATTTTTCGTCACTAGGGGTAACGACCCCATTTCTTAAAATGGAATATACAAAATTGCCGCCATGTTGGTAAAAGTTCAAAAGTAATTCAATTAATTAATTGTTCAAATTAGGAATAATTTATTATTTTATGAAATATTATTAAAAATGTACACAGAGAATTTTCGTAATATTAAAAAAAAAAAAAAATAATATTTACATTTGATATATGTATGATAATCAAATTTTTAGTTTGACTGACATGAGTCAAATTGGCTCTGTTCGTAAATCTTGTGTTAAAGAATTTTGTTATAAAATAAATTTGATAATGTGATTGTTATTGAAGACATTGTTAAATATGATTAGAAATTTTTTAACATTAGAGTCGTACAGAATAAGTTAAAAGTACCTGATTGTATTTTTAGTTTTTTTTTTTTTTTTTTT